TGGTCAACGGAGCGTATACGTAATTAAAGAAGTTTTACTTACCTTGATATCTATATAGTTTACAGACTATAATTAATAATGTTAAGGCTATCACTAAAATTATTTGTTACTATAATTAATTTTTAAAAAAATTTTAAATCAAATGAAATATAAATTACCATTTTGTAAGATATTAGAAGTTGTCAAAGAAAGCAGCTCATATTTTTTCCATCAGCGATACTTTGTGGTTGTTGAATTAGACAAATCTGTATGTCTGCTATTATTATAAGTACATCGCAATTTTGATAAATTAATAAATTATGTATTTATATAAAAATCTAGTTAAAGAAAACAAAAATTTTTTTTTAATAATTCAACAAAATAAATTGGTAAACAATAATTATGTATAATTACCGGAAATAATTCTAATTTAAAATTATTTTGTATAAAATAAAAATATATTAATGAAATAAAATAAAAAATTGTCGAAGAAAAATAATTTCTTAAAAAATTATTTTTTTTAATTCATAATTTATTTTCGGCAATCACAATTAAAGCGTATCAAATGAAAGTTTATTGCCAGTTACGATGTTGGTGCCAACAGTCGTATTGAGCTCCGGGGCGTACAGTATGGAAATGCAGTTTTCTACTTTAGTTGAAACACGCATTTGTAATTTATTTTGGTAATAACGTTTTGTTTTTGCAGTTGAATAAAATGTTATTGTCTTACGCCAGCACATATACCACGTTGTGCTTAACATTGCCGTCATCATCATAATCATAATCATCATCATCAACATCAACATTAAACAGTGTATTAAGCAAACATATGTAATGAGCTTTTTGGGCACACATACACAACTACAGAAGTGCAGATATTACGCTATAATCACTGTAATGCATACTCTCTCACACTCGAGTGTAGGAGTCATGCAGCCACTACTGTATTTAGTGCTTTTACGTCGAGCGTTTTGTCTGTGTTGGTGTAGTGTTGACAAAATTTGCTGCAAGGCCATTAATGTAACTACAAATCGGCATTGTTCGGTCAAAAGGATTCAACAAAATGTTGTTTAAGTTGTGTAGGAGGATCCCATCCAACGATGGGTAGCCTCTTCAATATTTAAACAAGCGTTGATGCATTTTATTAAGCGTTTGAAGTTGTCAAAGGTGAATATTTCTTCATTTTATTTTTCATTAGCTGAAAAACACTTCAATTGGGGTATTGCAGATAATTTAAATTTAAACTAAAAATAGTTTATTCATTCTAAAAGTGATAAATTTAAATTTTTTTAAATGCAATATATCATACGAGTATACAAAAAGATTCATAGAAAATTGCTTCAACTATTCAAATTTAACAAATGTTTTTGAAATGTTATTAAATAAAATGAATAAAAATTATATATTATTATTAAAAAAATTGAACAAAATAGTATAAAAATACTTTTAAGCAATGCAATCACTGAAACACTTTCTAAGCGTAATATGTAAGCGTTCTATTTTTCTATCTAGTGTGCTGTTATATATACATGTATCTTAGATAGTATTATACTATTTCAAAAACTGTATCAGACCACAGACAACTATTTAATATAAGTTCATGGCTAGGATATACTAAAAAGTTAACTGAATTATAATATATTTAATAATAATAATCGCTACAGAAAAACAATAAAGAAAACTTGAAAAGTACTGTAACCAACCCACACAACACGAAGAGTCGATAAATCCTGCAGTTTAATATACGATATCATTAAGGCAAGAACAACTTTCTTAATTAAAAATTAAATTCATTATTAAAAAAATGAAAAAAGTAATTTTAAAAGCAGCAGCGTCTTAGCACCTGGCTAAAATATTTCAGACTAAAAAACAGTATCAATAACATTCAGCATTATTTTCTTGATTTACTCAAAATAAGGAGACAGTCTTAATCCAAGACATTATTACCGATATTAACATAATATTGTCAAAACAGAGATAAGAAAATTAGGAATTGAACCTCAGCGATCTGAACCATTTCATTCTTTTTATTGGTCACATTAGGAGTCAAACAAGAAGACAGTTTAATTGGTTTTTAACGTGCTCGCTTGGATTAAACTCAAACGTTTCAATTACAAATAATTACCATCCCATTACAAATGCGCAAATCTGGATATATCTGCTTGAGATTAAATGTACAGAAATATAGTCAACATAGTATACTATATAGTATATCAACTGGCGACTTACATTGAGATCTAGAGATGAATGAAATAATGAAAGTACTACGATAGTGCAGTACAAAGCATACCATATGATTAAGTTACATACAAATAATGATATAAACCAACTACTGAAGAGATTAAAACCGTCCTACATGTGCCGCGTTAAATTCAAATTCGTTAATACGAATTATAAATTCTATTTCTTTATAAGAAAAACCAAATTAAACTGCACTGTTTCTCTATAATAGATGAGATAAAAACGAAAAGCAAAAAATAAATGAAATCTTATTCGGGCGTAAGTGAGTCTAGACATGGCTTCTACCATTTATCGTTCTACAAATTTATCGTTTGCGAATTATATATTTATTCACATGTCACCTTACGCTTATGTTATTTATAAGATATGTAGTAGTCACTTTGACCCCAATATTTTTGCATATTATAAACAAAATCAAGGAGCAAACAGTGAGCGTAACAAGTTAATGACATGTTGTGGCTTTTAACTTTCCCATTAAAACTAAATCATTTTATACATTTAAAATACGGAGTATAAAAAGTAAACAATTGTCACTTATCTAAAATATTTATTAAATATGAAATGGGATAATACTTTTTTCTTTAAACCTTGCATTTTGAACATTATTATTTACAAATACTGATATCAAGTGTATATCCGATTCTACGAGAATACACATAATACCCTTTAATATGTGATCTTTTTTAATGACTACGTAATTTTAGTTTTCAAAAAACATGAACTTATCTGCTAAAGTTTCTCTTAGTTATCTTATTTTTTATGCTATTAACATAGACATAAAAACCTTTTAGTACTATCGGATTTTTAGAATCGGATAGTACTACCGCGTATACCGCTGACTATAACTTTTTATTTGGTTACAAAACTAGAGTCCACTGTTCTGAAACGCAATGAATTATTGAAAATATTAATGCGAATGTATGAAATTGTTGAGAAGTGTTTAAAAGTCAGAAGTGTTACTATTAATACCAATTGTTGTAGTAAAATTTTTCATTTTTGAAACATTATGGCTTTGAACATCGGATATGTATTAAATTCAGAATTTTAGTACATCACCTTCTCCAATACTCCTTCTCTTCTCTATGCTTCAAAAATTCTGAAAGACCAGCATCAATATATGCATAAGTAATATGAAGTTGGGTTATATTATAATGGTGGATCGAAAAATCCATTTCAGCCTATTGACTTAGTGTGTTATAACTTGAAGAGTGTAAAAGTATCTTAAATAATGTTCTTTAAGAAAAAGATTAAGACACTCTAGTAAGTAAATTCCTAGCATATTTATTTGATTAATTATGTAATGGATATGGGCCAGAATATGTTTTTTTGATAGAGAACAGGCATATTTTATAAAAAAAACTGTAAAAATTGTCCTGTATTACACATAATAGTTACAATGGTTAAATTATTTTATATTTTTTCCTAGACCTTACATTTGTTCAAACTGCTTATCATCATGTTTATCATGTTTATTGCTCTTTTCGAATTCTTTGATTCCTATTCCAGATACTAGATTAAAGTTGCAATGATGCCCATATACTTATATTGTGTTACTGCTTTGATTCCGCAGATGCTTAAGTCTTAATTTTGATCCAGTCTTTTTCTTCCTCCTTGAAAGTACATTACTTTTCATTTTAATATATAGTATTAATCGATAAGTATTATAGTTTGCAGTATTTTTACATGGCGGTTAACTAAAAAGGGTTGGTATCTGCTATTAATATAAACGTTGTAAATAAATATTTGTTGTTAATTATATACGGACTATAAACTAATTAAATAAAAAATTCGATTATTCCAAAGACCACTGATGAAGAGTACTTGGCAATACTCGAAACAGCGTTGTATGGTCAGCCAAACTTCAATAAAATTAAAATAAATTTTTGTGTTTGTCCTTTATTTAATCCTTTGCTATTCAAAATTTCTCTATATTTGTTAAAATATAATAATAATATATTTATAATATATAATATCTAATATACAATATATAATATATACCTATATACATTTCATCTGCTCTGCATTGTCTGGTTCTCGTCAGAAAGAAGCTATGGACTGTAGGACAGTTAAAACTCTACGTCCAAGTATCTATCCAAATAGATATATGCTGTTCCAAACTTCCTACAGTAAGCTGACGCCTTAAAATATCTCTGTGATTATACAATATATAAATTTACAATATAT